GATCCCAATGGTAAGGGTCGCATTTGAAATACCCTGTATAATCAATCATTTCGTATAAGCAAAAAATATTTTCTTCACATTGTTTCATCAACTGTTTGATTGTATCAAGAGATGAGCTATTTTTCTATACTGTATTTATCAATCCAATATACAAATATGACAGTTATACAGGGTGTTCCTTAATGATATGCGAATATTTAAGGCTGTGGATCTACATGAAAACTTAATGTTAGTTTGCTTTATAAACTATGGTTCAAAAATGTTTCCGTACAAGTTCAAGTTTTAGGAAAAAAATGGAAATTAATTAATATTTTCAGAACAGCTTCAGATATTTCACTGATATTTAGTACGTAGTGAAAGTTCATAAGGTTGCATATTTTTCAATACAAAAATAATGTTAAGCTTTAACAGAGACGTGCGTACGAGTATTGACTTAGATAATTTTTAAGAAAAAAATGGTACGTCAACGGTTTTTTGTTAAATAAAAATTATTTTTGAATTTCACGTGTAATTTAAAACAAATGAACTCTCTTGAGTTGCTTCCCTTCGATGCGCCAATTTTGAGTAAAAAAGTAAAAACCGTTCTATTGTCTAACATGCAAAATTATTAATTTAATTGTGAAAATTAGGGGTAATGAACAACAACAACTGACAACAAAAACATAACATTAAAAACAACGAAATGATTACAAAAATTGTTAAAAATGATAATAATAATAATAATAATAATAAACTGCTTTTATTGCTCATGTAAGTACAGAAAAAGAAAAAGTACATAAATTTAATGCAGTGAGCAAACGGCAAGGTTCGCTTGATTGACAACCATTAGTTGTCAATCCGCGCTCTTCCACCTAACCAAAATGGCCTCCTTAGTATGCATGCTTCCGCCCTCCTTCTCATGGAATTGCACACTCGTTGAAATATCCATGGAGTGTCTTTTATTCTATCACAAGCTGCAACTATTCTGAGGTCTGGGGACCTTGGTGGGCATTCTTGGGGCCCACTGCGGCCAATCCAAAAATTTGGATAAACAGTTTGTAAATAATTACGACTCGCTACACTGAAACGCGCTGGTGCACCATCATGCATGAACCACATATTGTTTCTTATTACTAACGGAGCATCATCAAGCAGCAAAGGCAACTGTTGTTGAAGAAAATTCAGGTAAGTCTGTCCATCAAGTCGTCCCGGCAAGAACAATGGGCCAATAAAGTGGTTGCAAATAATTCCTGCCCATACTTTAACCGAAAATTGGTGTTGGAAATGGGTTTCGGTTACGGCATAGGGATTTTCTTCTGCCCACAAATGATTATTGTGGAAATTCTGAATGGCATTTCGAGAAAAATTAGCTTCGTCGGTGAACAGAATCATTGATTCAAATTGCGGATTTTGTGTAATTTTTTGAAGATACCACTGACAAAAGGTCACACGCCTTGGAAAATCAATGGGAAGTGATGCCTGTACGCTTAAAATGTGGTAAGAATATCAAAAAATCCACTCAAATTCTCCAAACAATTTGATGGCAAATATTTAAGTGTCTAGCGATTTTCCTCGTACTCGTTTCGGGATGTTCTTCGACTTCGTGCAGCACTGCTTTCTCAATTTCAGGTGTTCTCACACTTAGAGGTCTACCTTCAGATGTTCCTTTTCGGACAGAACCAGTTTCAACAAGGCGACGATAAATATAAGAAAATGTTCGACTATCTGGCAAAGCACGATCGGGATATCTCTGGTGATTGATCAGTCTGGCTTGCTCACCATTACCGTCGGCAAGGCCGTATACGTAATGCATTTAAAAACTAAATAATGAAAAAGATGTCACAGCGAACAGATTTGAATAACAGAGACTTGTCAGATGTCAAAAGCCAGTGGCTTATTCCAGAGCAACTAGATATTTATTGCTAAATTGCATTCTTCAGTTATTACATTAATTTTCTCGAACAATAGAACGGTTTTTATTTTTTTTACTCAAAAATGGCGCATCGAAGGAAAGCAACTCAAGAGAGATCATTTGTTTTAAATTGAACGGGGAATTCATGAATAATTTTTATTTGGCAAAAAACCATTGGCGTACCATTTTTTTCTTAACCCTTAACTGGTTTCGTCGGGTCAAAATTGACCCGGCGCGCCTTCAGTTCGTCATAGCTTTGGGATTTTCGCAGCTATGTGGTGGGGGTTCCGTGATTTCTCAGACAGTATACGTATGCACATATACCGCAAAGGTCAGTTTAATTTGAGCGTCGCAAGTGTAGGTTTGTTTGCTTTGGGGTCAAATGTGACCCGACGATACCAGTTGCGTGTGCGTTTTGGACTTTCTTCGCAATGGATTTTTTCGTTATTGACGGCAATAAATATACCGAAGAACAAGTCCGTGAGTTGTTCTTAGACAGTGAAGATGATGGCGATATAAGTGATGCGGCTACTTTCGACAGTAATCACGATTCTGATGAAGAATACACCATATACGACGCCGAGGACGACGCTGTTGCCGATCAAGCTGAAGAAGTTCCTGTGGGCGACTTCGATTTTGATGGCGGTGCAGACAACAGTGTGGACTCAGATAGCTCTTCAGATTTGCCACTATCATCCATAGGCTATGTTTATGGAAAGAACAGGTACAAATGGTCAAAACGAGCTCCTACAGCTGGTCGTACCAGACGACATAATATTATTACGCATTTACCTGGACTAAAACCCGTGGCAAGAAATTTGCAAGATAAGAACCCTGTCAACTACTGGTCTCTTCTCATAACCGATGAAATGATTAGCAAAATTGTGGACTGTACAAATGAGAAAATTACGGAAATGTCCAGCAAATATGGAACAACAGCTTCGTTTGTGAGTTACACAGATTCAGCAGAGATGAAAGCATTTTTTGGTTTGCTCTATTTGACATCAGTTTTCAAATCCAACCATGAAGATGTTGAAGGTTTATTTGCATCAGACGGCACTGGTAGAGACATTTTCCGTGCTACGATGTCCCTAAAGAGGTTCATGTTTTTGCTAGTCGCATTGAGGTTTGATAGTATTTCTACCAGAGACTCGAGAAAGCCTGATAAATTTCGCCACATACGTGAAATCTTCGAGACATTCATACAGAACTGTCAAAATTGTTATATTCCGGGTGAGTCCCTTACAATAGATGAGATGCTCGTGGGTTTTAGAGACCGATGTTCTTTCCGTGTGTACATGAAAAGTAAACCGAACAAGTACGGACTAAAGATATTATGCCTTTGTGATGCAAAGACTCACTACCTGCTCAATGCTTTTGTCTATACAGGTAAATCAGAAAGTGTGCAGCCTAATCCAAGAAAGCTGTCAGTGCCTACCCTAACTGTCTTATCCCTAATTGATCCAGTCAAGAATACGAACAGAAATATCACGGCAGATAACTGGTTCACATCAATAGAATTAGTTGAAGAATTGCGCAAAAATCAACTGACTTATGTCGGCACGATGCGTAAAAATAAGACACAAATACCACAATATGTAGTCCCAAATAAGAAAACCGACCCAGGTACTTCTAAGTTTGTGTTTACTGGCACTACAACTTTAGTGTCCTACGTTCCAAAACCAAATAAATACGTACTGGTAGTGTCATCTATGCACCATGATAACAAAGTAGATGAAGAATCAAAGAAGCCTGATATGATTTTATATTATAACCTCACAAAGGCGGGAGTTGATGCACTAGATCAGAAGTGTGCAAATTACAATACTGGTCGGAGATCAAGAAGGTGGCCGTGTGCTATTTGGTATGCTACTATGAATATAGCTTCTGTAAATTCCTTTATTTTGTTCCAGTCTGGGACTGAAAATTCTATGAGACGACGGAATTTTATTGTTTACCTAGGTCAAACTCTAATTGAACCTCATATGAGACGACGTTTATCGGCACCAAGGCTTCCTAGGGAGCTTCGCTCAGTCATGCAAAGAATCCTGAAATGTGACGACACGACGACGCCGACGAATGAAAGTCAGCCGTCCACTTCTCAGCCCAGAGTTCTTGATCCTTGTGCAGTTCTTAAAGGAAAAAAACGACGTAGGTGTTACATGTGCCCGTCTCACAATGACAATAAATATTCTACGATCTGTAATAAGTGTAACCAGCACGTGTGTAAAGTTCACAGCGCAGCTACATTGTTATGTGGAAAGTGCCAAATGTGAGTGATAGGCTATGAAAACGTTATTGCACGTTTTCTAATACGAGACAGTATTTGTTTTTTCGCTATAGAATATAAAGACCAAATATGTTGTTTAATGGCCCATTATGTTAGTTTTTTGATAAATTCATACTTGAGTTGAAATTTCGTAAATTATATTGCATTACTCATTTTCAGATGCAGTATTTTGTTTTGATTTTGGACAATAAACAGTTTGAATGTACGAGTGCTTTATTTGTTCAAACATGTAGTATATTAGGCTAACAACTGATCAGTAATAGCATTTCGGAAGTTGGTAGCTTCAGCTTCTTAAAGTATCGTCGGGTCAAAATTGACCCGACGATACCAGTTACGTACGTAAAAATGACGATACCAGTTAAGGGTTAAAAAATATCGAAGTCAATAACCTGTATGCACGCCACTGTTAAGGCTAAACATTATTTTTGCATTGAAACATATGCATTTATCAACTTTCATTACTTAATAAATATCAGTGAAATATCTGAACCGGTTCTGAAAATATTAATTTCAATTTTTTTCCTAAAACCTCAACACCCCAAGTTTTTGTAAGGAAACATTTTTGGACCATAGTTTATTAAGCAAACTAAGATTAATTTTTCATGTAGATTCACATCCTTAAATGTTCGTGTATCATTAAGGAACACCCTGTATATATTTTATAGTCATTTTTGCGGTATTCCAGCTTATAGATAGGCACTAAAGGTACTCATTGAATTTGCGAAAAATGATTATCTAGTTTGTTGGCGCTTTCTATATAAAAGCGGCTAGGTAATATTAGGTTATTAGGTAATATTGTGTAAGAATTAACGTACCTACCTCCTAATATACCAAATCCTAGTTGATGCCACGGCAAGACAACAGCAACAAATAAGCATAATGTCGCTGCCCCTATGACCAGTTGGAATAAATTGTCGTGGTAGTTCTCTACGTATTCACTAACAGCTCTGGACCAGGGAGCTAGAACAGAGGACAGAACTTAGAAGTAAGGTATCATCCTCATTTCCGATTCTCACTAATTATCTCCATTGACCTCAATTTAATTCATTTTCATTTCATTTCTTTATTTAGACTATCATAAGATGAAATAGAACACGTCAACAGAAATAATAGTGTACAAATATACAGAAAATAAATAGATAAGTAGATAACACACATTAGTCTATACAGTCAGAATCAAACAAACACTGAAATATAAAACAGATAAACTTTTAACTAAAAACAAACACTCAACAAACGTGGTAGACTCAGATTAAAGTATCGCTATGTCATAATTATATAAATAAAATAAAAAAAATTCAAAAAAAAAATGTAGCATATAAGCAATTTCAACATATTACGACCTGTTGGACAATCACGAAACCACTCAATCGGTCCCCGTATTCCATAGTATTCAAGTTTTGTCAACAACAGCCCATGATTTACAAGGTCGAAAGCTTCGCTCCAATCACTGCTATAGAGATGATTCAAGAACTTTATTATCGCTGTAGTAGTTGGCAAACCCTTGCGGAAACCATACTGATCTTCATTAAACAATAGGTTGTTATTGAAGTATTTCACTATACAGATTGCTACGTACTTTTAAAGTATTTTTAGAAATGGGCTGAGCAGGGATATTGGTTTGAAGTTTTCTAAAAAACTGGAGTCTCACTTTTTGAAGTTGGGAATTATTTTTGCAATTTTCAAACAACTAGGAATCTTACCTCCTCCAAAGAACAGTTCACCAAGTAAACAAATACTCCAGCAATCAGGTGGGCACATTTCTTGACAACGCTTGTGCTAATACTATCCTCACCAACAGAGTCAGATAGTTTCAAATCCCTGATAATATCCAGGATGTCCTTTTCACACGCAAGGTGGAAAAAGAAACTGTGACTTATTTTTCAACATGGTAATACATTGCTTGGAGTAATCGACAAACACTAGTGCTCTCCTAAAAGCTGTTGACACATACTGAGGATGATCAGTTAGTGAGGTTCCAACTTGTATAGCGATCTTTTTATTTGTGGAGAATTTCAGTATATTCCACGCTGTTTCGGATTTGTTTGTGGCCTGCTCTAACGTGCGACTGTTGTTTAACTTTTTTGCTGCGCGAAGAAATTTTTATATGACTTCTTGTATAAGTTATAATAATTTTTCATATCTGCATCCTCTCTAGTTAAATTATATAATTCTCTTAATCGTCGGCCATATGAACCGTTTGTTAACCAAGGTTTTCTTTTTTGATTTTAGTTGTTATGCGTTTTTTTTTAAGAGGGAAAGCTAACTCGAATACGTTAAGAAACGACTGAAACCTACTCTCTATATCACCATCATTAATATAGATATGAAGCCAATTTTCTTTGCTTAATAAATCCAGAAAATGCTTCATGCCATGTTTATTATGTACTATTTGTATATAGTGATATTTTATTAGCAACTGAAGAGTATTACCTTCATTTATGATTTGTAACATTTGTGCTACATGGTCGCTGATACAACGATTAAGTACTCTGCGAGAAAATTCACAATCTTCCAAGTTCTCACAGATATTGTCCAAACATGATTTCCCCTGGTCGGTTCAGTTATGGTTGGTCTTATGTTCCACAAGCCAAGAAAATCTGATAAACTAGTTAATTGTCTACTGGGTCATAAAAAATTAACATTGAAATCTCCACAGATGACTGTGTTTTTAATGACGTGGCATTCTTATATACTATACTTCAGAAAATAATACAGGGTGTAAACGTTATGATAGTCATTATTTAAATTGTTGATAGAGGAGGTTAAATAAGCAAATTGTTTAGAGAAAAGCGAAGTAAAATAAAATCTGACAACGCCGCAATGCCAGACGCAGTTTGTTATTTTTGGCTCTTAGGTATTATTTAATTATTTGATAATGTACTCGTCAAATGCAAACAATTAAAGAAAACGGACTTACCACTAACTGTCTCAGCGCTTCACCTGGTGTGTGAAAGTTTATTGGACGTATTAAGAAAATCCACTTATAAATAGGGAACACAATTTTGATACATACTCTTTTTTCTTTTGAATCCACACTGCACTTTTTTGTATTTAAAGAAGGTGTTCAAAATGTGTTCCTCCACTTTCCACACAAGCTTCATTACGACGAACCCAGTTCCTTCTTACTCTAGGTCGTCGAAGTTGTCCATTTATTATTTCAGCCGAATTAAATTTTTTTTCGCGAAGCTGTGCTTCAGTTGTTATTGGACCAGCTCCATAAACCATCCCTTAAGTTCTCCCCAATACCAGAAATCCACCGGATTGAGGTCAGGACATCTTGCTGGCCATTTTCGAGGATCAGGAGCATTTCGACTGATCCAGCGATTTGGATAATGTTCATTCAAATACTGAATGGCGCCTCTAAAAATATGTGGTGGTGCCCCGTCATGAAGGAACCACAAATTCTGTCTCCGTTCTAATGGCATGTTGTCTAAGGTCTATTCCAAAAGTTCTGGTAGGTTATTGGCTAGAAGCCTAAGGTATTTTTCCCGTAGATTTCTATGGACTATGGCATGCGATAGCCCTACACGGTGGCCTAATTTCCGAGTGCTGATATCTGCATTGATTTCCACGATATTTAAAATTTGTTCCTCCTGCTTTAGAGTAACATGTCGTTCACGGCTGCGAATATTGGTGGGCTGAACACTTCCTGTATCACGAAGTCTTTGGTACACTTGCACAAATGTCCTTATGTCTGGGCGTACCGGTTGCGCGAAATCTGTAGTGATAAATTTGAGCTGCAATATTTGAATTCTGACGAGCTTCACCGTAAGCTAACAACATGTCGGCGAACTTTTGATTCGAGAACATTGTAAATAAACACGACGACGTACGCGAACAAAAACAAAACAACACGCCCGATGCTCTGCTCGACAAAACGATAAAGTAATTTAGCTATGCAAAACAATAACTAACGACTGTTGCCGTTTGCGTGTGATCGATTGCCGGTTCGATAAGGGTGATGAAAGACCGAAGCGCTGTTGTTATGTGTGTTTTAAATATGTAATTCAATGAAAATTACTTACTGACTACAAGTTTTGGCTTCACTTAGAAAAACCTAATGCCATTTATTTGTTAATTACCCTATTCAAAACGTTTTAGGTTAGATTATAAAAATTACTAAGATTGTAGTGATTGTGGTCGATATAAAGCATTTAAAGTTGTAAACTATAAAGCCATTTAGTTAAAAATCTATTGACCTTTAGAACATAGGTCATATGAAATTTTTGACCTGTTTTGACCCCCCCCCTATTTCCCATTTCTATAGTGACTACCGTAACGTTTACACCCTGTATACACATAAAATACTGCGCTACTACCTTTCAAATATCAGATAAAAGTTCAAATGCAATTTATGGAAAATGAAAATATGTGTTTTTATTTGTTACCGACTTTATTATTAAAATAAGCACGACCGCCTCCAGAGATTTCCGCAGTTCTACATACTGAAAGCGCTTCCATTACGCAATGTGTATTTAAACTCTAGACATTCTGTACATAACAGTGGCGACCAAAACAAGCTGTTTTAAAGCACTATTATTAACTATGAAGGTAATGTTGTCAGAGATGACAAGTTATATTTAAATCGAAAATAAAAGCAGAACCTCTATTTCCCTCAGCAATACTTGAGCAATCTTTGTCTGCTCATGACACAGCTTATGAGTGCAAATAAATTTTTACTCGAATTGAGATACGCATATCTTATATTTTTTCCATTCGACTCGTGGTGCCGGTTTTCGGTCAAACCTTGGATTTGAAAGTTAATAGGGAAACCATGTATGGACTTCAAAACCTAATTTTTATGCGACAAATAAATCACTGAAGTCATTAATTGTGATTGATTGTTAGACCATATACTACAATATAAACCCTTTGTACTTAAAAATTATTTTCTACTTTTTAGTTCGGTTACCTATAAAAGCGTGTTTTTTAGTTTTTTTTCAACTATATATGTCCGCCAAGGAATGTTGTTGAAAGTACTATTAATTCTCGATAGTCGTCTCTAGCAATATCTTTAAGTTCATGTCGATGAAATTCTAGCAGCGTGCCAGTCTCTGAAATATTCAGCAATATACTGCAATATTGTTAGTTATACTAAGTGACATATAAATCCGAACACCCAGTTTACTGCTTTAAAGCCCTTTGACCTTTATAATGTGTGGATGCACCCTGATGTGCTACGCATTATCCAACGCGCCTAGGCATGCTTCTGATCAGGTGGTCAATGTCCTCCTGTGGTATCTCATTCCAGGCAACCACCAACTCCTCTCGAAGTGCTTCTAGACTCTGAGGAGGACGTTGCAAATTGAGCAATCTCCTACCCATCATATCCCACACGTGCTCAATTGGGGATAAGTCGGGAGATCTTGGTGGCCATGGTAACAATGTGACATCATTATGTTGAAAGAAGTCTATTGTGACTCTTGCAACATGTGGTCGGGCATTACCTTGTTGGAAAGTTGGATCTGCCAGGGTGTCAAGGTAGGGTAAAAGATGGGGTTCTAGAACTTCGTGGATATAACGCTGAGCGTTCATGTTACCTCTGATGAAGATTAAAGGTGACCTGGAACCATAAGCTATAGCACCCCAAACCATAACTCCAACAGTGTGATGAACATGTCTTTCAACAAAAAACTGTGGATTCCTCCTTTCACCACGTCGCCTTCTAACCCTGGCACGACCATCGTGCATGCCTAAACAAAATCGAGACTCGTCACTATAGACAATACTGTTCCATTCCTGATCCCAGAGTGACCGTTCTCTGCACCACTCAAGGCGATTACGTCGGTGTTCTCGAGTTAAAGGGAGGAACCAGTGTGGCCGGTATGAAAACAAGCCAAAACTTCTCATTCGTCGGTAAACACTTCGCATGCCAATAGGTCTTCCGTGTTCTGCAAACCATTCACTTGTAATGGACCTGGTAGTGGAGAAACGGTCCCTTAAGGCCAATAATCTTAGGCGGCGATCTTCACGGTCTGTTGTTCTACGGCGGCGTCCAGTGCCCCTTGCTCTTTGCGTACGGCCTTCTCGAAGCCATGCCTGACAACACCTAACCACAGTGTCTACACTTCTTTGCACTCTAATTGCAATTGCCCGAAAAGAAAGTCCAGCTTTCCGAAGTCCCACTATACGGCCCCTATCAAACTCACTAAATTGACGAAATCGTACAGGTCTCCGTACTCTAGGCATCGTAACCGATCGTAAAGGATGTCATGAACCAAAACCCGCCAACGTTGATTCTTTACTGCGGCTGAAATATTCATTTTTAGAGCGTTAGTGAAATAAAAAAAAGCAGTAAATAAAAAGTTTTCCCACAAAAATTGGTGAACCCATTTTATGCGTCCATGTTTTAAATTCCCTCCTGAACAACTTGCACCAATAAAACCAGACTTTACAATTATTTCGGGGAAATTTGCTAACATGATTAGACTAATTAGACAAAGGCAAACCAAGCCCATTAATAATAAATTTTAGCAGCTCTTCCTTTAAACCTTGAGGAACTTTCTTGAATGAATTAAACCCTTCAAAATAGGGTGAATTCGTACAACTCGTTTTGGCAGCTTTTGATATTAAAATTCTGAGTTTATTATTTCTTCGCGCAGCGCTGTTAGAAAAAATCTTATACCTAACACTTGCGGAAAGAGCACATTCTGAATTCAAACATAATATTTACATTTTGTGAACTTAAGCTAGATTGAATTTAGATATCGATAGATTTTACACAAATATCATACCTGTTACGTGCCATGCCGTCCAAAATAGCACAGTTGTCCATATACAGCTTTCCAGGGGGTATTGTTTTTCGATTATTCCATGAGATATGAAGACTCCGTATGAGAAAAAGGTGGCAGAAGTCAAAAACTGAAACAAGAATATCACGCTACACTACCAAAGTGGACGACTTCAGATTCAGTCCAATGTGAGGAGTTACTTTTCTGAAGTTCAGCTGCAGATAAAAGAAGGTATATCTCATGGCCACCCGCAGGCATTTTTCTGAGGGGGCCGATAACCTATAAGAGATAACTTGTATGAAAGTGTACCTACTCTCAAAACTTTTTGACGAGCGGAGGGTATCAAATTCTCTCAGGCGGAGTGGGGCCTATGTACAAGTCTTAAAAATACCTGTAATTATACACAAAACCATGCCAAATATGCCAATTTCAAGGTTTAACCAGATTTTCAGGGGAGGGAGTTGTACAGCTTCCTCTGAGACCCCCTGTGGGAGCCCATGTATATTCCCTTAGGGAGAAGATGAGCTGTGAGTATTACGACATCATTTATTTCCTTCTACCGGGTGGGCTAACGATAAGGGACACCGACTATACCTCTAACATAGGTTACAAACTTATTCAATTGACTTATCGGGTTTGCCGCTCAATATCTGAAATGTTTTGTTCATGTCATTTCCTCACATGTATGTTGGTTAGTTTAGGGTGTGGAAATGGTTGAATGTCATTTCAGAAAAAGTCGCTTAACTTCTGTTTGGCTTCTCGGATTCTGACGACCTTGGTTTCCCTTGAGGGTATCCACCTGGGATCCTAATGAAATGCTCAATCTTGTGAATTTAGTTAAACTTGTGGACACTAGATGACACTGTGGCCGCACCAACGTTTTTTCAATTTCGAAAATTTCAAATAGAACGATATTTTTTATAGTGATTCAAATGCTTGGCATTTATTAAAAATATAACGATTCCGCGACTTTAAACGCCATCTTCAGGTACATATAGGAGTTTATAAAATAATTAGTAAAAATAATTACATTTCTTCTAGGTACAAAAATAAGCGATCCAAGTTGCACATACCTCTTTCATTTTCTGCGCTCCAAATATACCGTATTGCAACGTTGAATTAGCACTGAAGACAGTTTAAAAACCATTATTGATGCTGGAAGGTAATGTCCCAGCAATTAATTATAGATAAAAGGAACCGCATTCTTTAGGGAGCCGCGGCTTGGTTGGGCTGTCTCCAGTGGCAGTGAGCTGTTGCTGTTTAATAGGTGCATTAATTTAATTCCCAACATGATGTGATTTTCAAAACAGATGACATCTTTATTTGTAAAATATCTGCAAGCTTTTGAAAAGCAAAATATTTCTTTCAAATTTCAATATTCAGGTAGAAGCCGGTTGTTTGAATAATTCTGATATGGTAGGTCGGATGCTTGGTATGGAAAATGAATAAGAGGGAGGACTCGCTTAGTCCAGGGAGCTACACTTTACAGAAGGTATAACATGCTGTAATATGTAGGAGAAGCTTAACGAGCTGTTGCGCTTAGGAAAGGGAAACTCCGAGGAGCCCCAAAGCCCTCCCATGAATACGCCAGTGTGCCCATAGTTCAAAGAGTTCCACGCTTCTTTCTAATGTCTTTCGAATTGCACTGATCCAGCGGTGGCGATAAAATTAACAGGAAATGAATAAGACCTTCTTGATTCAATTTAGATATTAATGCATTGATCAAAGAAATTACTCTGTTTAGTCATAGCACATTACCAAACATTTGAAAGACAAAACAATCTTTTAAAAAACAACCAGCGGGTGTGCTTATGCAGTCGGCGGTGCGGCACCTTAAAGGCAAAAGCTAACAGTAGCTAGAAAAAAAAAACGTATTTTTCTATTTAATATGGAATTATTGGACCATCCTCCATATAGTCCCGATCTAAATCCTAACGATTTGTTTACTTTCCCGAAAATTAAAAACAGACTGTGTGGTCAAAGGTTCCAGTCACCAGAAGAAGCAGTTGACGCATTAAAAAATGCCAGCAAACGAGTGGAATAAGTGCTTCGAAAATTGGTTCGAGCGCATGCAGATGTGTATCAATCTTCGGAAAACAATAAAGTCATTTAAAACTACCTACCGTGTTGTCTTATTTCCATATGCAAAACTAAAAGGTCATCCGTCGTATTCTTTGCAACCGTAAAAATTATACTAAGTGACATATAAATCCGAACACACAGTTTAAATGGTTTTATTTTAATAAAATTTTGTATAAGTACTTTATGAAGCATAATAAGTAAATGATAAAAATTTCAAAATGATTGCCCTGCTTTAAAGCCCTTTGACCTTTAATAATGTGTGGATGCACCCTGATGTACTACGCATTCTCCAACGCGCCTAGGCATGCTTCTGATCAGTTGGTCAATGTTCTCCTGTGGTATCTCATTCCAGGTAACCACCAACTCCTCTCGAAGTGCTTCTAGAGTCTGAGGAGGACGTTGCAAATTGAGCAATCTCCTACCCATCATATCCCACGCATGCTCAATTGGGGATAAGTCGGGAGATCTTGGTGGCCATGGTAACAATGTGACATCATTATGTTGAAAGAAGTCTATTGTGACTCTTGCAACATGTGGTCGGGCATTATTTTGTTGGAAAGTTGGATCTGCCAGGGTGTCAAGATAGGGTAAAAGATGGGGTTCTAGAACTTCGTGGATATAACGCTGCGCGTTCATGTTACCTCTGATGAAGATTAAAGGTGACCTGGAACCATAAGCTATAGCACCTCAAACCATAACTCCAACAGTGTGATGAACATGTCTTTCAACAAAAAACTGTGGATTCCTCCTTTCACCACGTCGCCTTCTAACCCTGGCACGACCATCGTGCATGCCTAAACAAAATCGAGACTCGTCACTAAAGATAATACTGTTCCATTCCTGATCCCAGAGTGACCGTTATTTGCACCACTCAATTCGATTACGTCGGTGTTCTCGAGTTAGAGGGAGGACCCAGTGTGGCCGGTATGAAAACAAGCCAAAACTTCTCATTCGTCGGTAAACACTTAGCATGCCAATAGGTCTTCCGTGTTCTGCAAACCATTCATGTGCAATTGACCTGGTAGTGGGGAAACGGTCCCTTAAGGCCAATAATCTTAGGCGGTGATCTTCACGGTCTGTTGTTCTACGGCGGCGTCCAGTGCCCCTTGCTCTTTGCGTACGGCCTTCTCGAAGCTATGCCTGACAACACCTAACCACAGTGTCTACACTTCTTTGCACTCTAACTTGCCCGAAAAGAAAGTCCAGCTTCCCGAAGTCCCACTATACGGCCCCTATCAAACTCACTAAGTTGACGAATTCGTACAGGTCTCAGTACTCTAGGCATCGTAACCGATCGTAAAGGATGTCAAGAAAAAAAATCCGCCAACGTTGATTCTTTACTACGGTTGAAATATTCATTTTTACAGCGTTAGTGAATTAAAAAAAAGCAGTATAAAAACCGGAATGTCCAACTGATAAGGCTGAAAATTTTTTCACTTGTTATTTATAGTAAGATAAATACATTCACCACCTTTTATTAAAATAAAACCATTTAAACTGGGTGTTCGGATTTATATGTTACTTAGTATATAATACTCCGATACGATCTATAGTCAACGCCAAACAAAGTGGCGTGCACGTCATCACGATAAAAATTCCCCGACCTAATGCCTAGGTTTCTATCACAAACAATTGCTCTATTGCAGTTTCATATTAATGTGATATATAAATTGTAAAATGGTCATTACTCTCTTATTATGGTTAATAGTCATATAAACATTGTTATTAAGATATCACATAAGTTGCTTTCTGATAAATTTAGACGCATTATGCGAAACAAAATGTTTTGCAAACGCTCCAATCACTTATCGACATGTAAACGCACTAAACCGATTTCGCAGCGTTGACACATTGTCACCTTGAAACTTATTTAAACTGGGAACTGACATTTGTATTAATTTTGACACTGAATCAATTTGTGGCATTTCAAATCTTTATAAATCCTTTGGCCCCGCATACTGTAAATCAACAACTGTTTGTTTCAAAACAAAATTATTCATTTTACGAGTAGATAAAGGCAATTTTGGTATATAAAGATGCCCAAACAGTTAAATAGTCGGTGTAAGGAACTCGTGGCCTCGTTAATGCACTACTTTGAGCAAGAAAGGGACAACAACGGGCCTTTGTTGCCTTTAAATGCTGTTCAAGAGGTAGGTTACTAATAATTATATGTAATGTATATTAATAATAGTGAAATTTTATTTCATTTTTTGTAGCGTGTTGCTGCTGCTTTAAAAATTAGTTTAAGGACAGTTGGTCGTATTTCCGAGGGTGTGAAAAGTGATGCAAATTTAGAATCGCCCAAGAAAAAGCGGAGTTATATTAAACGTGTAACCAACACAGCGACATTGGATACAAGTGCCATTCGAGAAGTGATCTATAATATGTATCACAAAAGTAAGATCTTATTATAATAACTTATCAGAAATTTGCATTAATTTGTTAACTAAATTATAATGTCATATTACACATGGTTTCAGAAGAACAAGTTACGATACAAACTTTATGGTCTCGATTAAGAGATAGGGCATTATTTGATGGTAGTGCCACGTCTTTAAGGCGGTTGCTTAGAGATCTTGGATTTAGGTGGCTTAAGGACAATCCGCGACGAGGGCTCATGGAACTACCAAGTATAGCTTTGAAAAGGGTGGAATTTCTAAGGCAATACAATCAAGCCAAGGTTGAAGCCTTATACCAGTTTGTCTTCCTCGATGAAACTTGGATATTTCAAAATGGGACCATAGGTCGCTCTTGGCAAAATGGAAACCAAAAAAGCGTGAAAGCTATTAAAACAGATGGTAAAAGGTATGTACTTTTACACAATTTGCACTATAAAATTTAAAACTAATATATTTTAGATACATTATATTACATGCTGGAAATGAAAATGGGTTTATTGAGGGTAGTGAAGCGATATTTTCTTCGAAAACAAAATTGAGCGATTACCATGGAGAGATGAACCAGGACAATTTTTTGAAATGGTTTCAACGTCAGTTATTAGAAAAATTTTAGAGTCCATTTATGATTATACTGGATAACGCCCCTTAT